TATTCCCAGAGTACTTTGTCTATAGACCTTCTTTCATTCATAAGCATTTTGTTTTTTAAGACCGAGTCTCGCTCTCTAAACCAGGCTAGAGTGCAATGGCGCAATCTCAGATCGCCTGGTGCAATCTCTACCTCCCAGTTTCAAGAGATTCTCCTGCCTCAGCCTCCTGAGTAGATGGATTACAGGCACCCACCACCACACCCAGCTAATTTTTTTTTTTTTTTTAGTAGAGAAGGGGTTTCACCATGTTGGTCAGGCTGGTCTTGAACTCCCAATCTCATGATCTGCCCGCTTCGGCCTCTCAAAGTGCTGGGAGTACAGGGATGAGCCACCATGTCCAGCCTGCTCATAAGGATTTTTGCCTCCACTCCCATCTCGTTCTATCTGTATCTTGCTGTACTTAACCTGATCTATGTTGAATTTCCATTCGGTATGGACAAGTCTCAGTTCCTCTTTTAGGAGACCATCTTTATATCTGCATCAACGTGCAGCACATGTGGAAAAAAAGGGCCAAGGACTGAATCTGTCCAGGGGAACCTGGAAGCCCAAGAGGGGCTTCATTTTTGAGAAGGAGGCAGGCTAGGGGCTTAAACTCTGTACTTGGGGGTAGGGTTGCAACACTGGCTTGAAAGGGAAGAAAGGGATTGTCTTCAGCCTTTCATACATCCAGACTCTGGGAGATGAGCATGCTTAGCTCCTTGGCAGGGCTGCCAGTGAAGGCAGGGAGAAGGGCAGAGGCTTGAAGGCCACCGCCATAGGCTGCAGAAGGAAAGGAGCAGCTCCAGGCATCCAGCTGGTGGAGACCGCCAGCTCTGAGTGCTGTGCACCACTCTTCACAGCCAGCTGTGTCGCTACTACCCGTCCCAGTTTCACAGGTCTGGAGACACATCTGCAGCATTGATTATAGAGGCTCAAATTAATGTTATTTTATATTAGAGTTACCCAAACTTCAGTTGTACCATGTCCAGGATTTCCATGTCTGAGTGCAGTAGTAGGTGCAGGCACACACACCTGTGAGCCATGTCACCCAAGCCTGCCACACTTCTTAACAGGTCAGGCAGAAACAGTCATTGAGACACTTAGGGTATGCCCAGGTCATGTGGAAGCTGTATAAAGGTGTCAAAAAGAGTCCTGCCATTTGTTTTAGGCTCATCCTAAGCAATAAAAATGTTGAAATTGGCTTGACATGTGGCTTATGCCTATAATCCCAACTCTTCAGGAGGCTAAGGCAGGAAGATCACTAAAGCCCAGCAGTTAGAGACCAGCCTAGGCGACATTGTGAGACCCCATTTCTAAAAAAAAAAAAAAAAAAATTAGCTGTAGATGGCAGTGCATATGTGTAGTCCCAACTACTCAGGAGGATCCTGAGGCAGGATCACTTGGGCCCGGGAGGTTAAGGCTGTAGTGAGCTGAGATTGCACCACTGCACTTCTGTCTGTGTGACAGAGCAAGGCCCTGTCTCTAAAAAAAAAAAAAAAAAAAAATGGGGGGTGGGGTGGCAAGCGTTGTGTCTCACACCTGCAATCCCAGCACTTTGGGAGGCCAAGGAGGGTGGATCACCTGAGGTCAGCAGTTTGAGACCAGCCTGACCAATATGGTGAAACTCCCATCTCTACTAAAAATACAAAATTAGCTGGGCGTGGTGGGGGGGGGGTGCCTGTAATTCCAGCTACTCGGGAGGCTGAGGCAGGAGAATTGCTTGAACCCAGGAGGTAGAGGTTGCAGTGAGCTGAGATCACACCATTGCACTCCAGCCCGAGCGACAAGAGCAAAACTTCATCTAAAAGAAAAAAAATGGAATCATAGGTCTGATAGGTTGTTATGCTCTTTCTAATGAATATTAAAACTTTAAAGATAATCTCTATACTAAAAACGTGTCAGCCATTGATAGTACTTTACTACCCATTGGTGGTCATTGTACCACATTTTGGGGAAACATTGTTTTAACTAAAGAGTGTTATTGTTTTTGTTTTGTTTTGTTTTGTTTAAGAGAGAGAGAGTTTCACTCTTGTTGCCCAGGCAGGAGTCCAGTGGCACGATCTCAGCTCACCATAGCCTCCGCCTCCTGGGTTCAAGTGGTTCTCCTTCCTTAGCCTCTTGAGTCACTAGGATTACAGGTATACACCACCATGCCCAGCCAATTTTGTATTTTTAGTAGAGATGGGGTTTCTCCGTGTTGGTCAGGCTGATCTTGAACTCCCTACCTCAGGGGATCCACCTGCCTTGGCCTCCCAAAGTGCTGGGATTACAGGCATGAGCCATTGCGCCTGGCTTATTGATTTGTTTTTAGAGACAGGATCTGGCTCTGCTGCCTAGGCTGGAGTGCAATGGCATGTTTGTAGCTCACTGCAAACTAGAACTCCTGGCTTCAAACAGTCCTCCCACTTTACCCTCCCAAGTAGCTGGGATTACAGGTGCACGCCCCTATGCCTAGTTAATTATTTTTTAATTTTTAATAGAGATAGGGTCTTGCTATATTGCCCAGGCTGGTCTCTAACTCTTTTTTTTTGGAGACAGAATCTCACTCTGTCCCCTAGGATGGAGTGTAGTGGCACAATCTCAGCTCACTGCAACCTCTGCCTCCCGGATTCAAGCAATTCTCTTCCCTCAGCCTCCTGAGTAGCTGGGATTACAGGTGCATGCCACTATGCCTGGCTAACTTTTGTATTTTTAGTAGAAACGGGGTTTCACTATGTTGGTCAGACTGGTCTCAAACTCCTGACCTCATGATCCACCTGCCTCGGCTTCGCAAAGTGCTAGGATTACAGGTGTGAGCCACCGCGCCTGGCCAACTGGTCTCTAACTCTTGAGCTCAAGTGATCCTCCTGCCTTGGCCTCCAAAAAGCTAGAAGTACAGGTGTGGGCCACCATGCCCAGCCAAAGGTGGACAAGAAATTGTAGAAAGTAATGGATAACCTTCTGACCAAAGGAAAATGTGAGTAAGATACGAGAATTAAATAGCATATTAGAAGAGAGTGAATGACAAGTGAAGAGAAAGGTACACTAACACCTTAGTTACCTACTAGAGATAGAGACAATTTTCCTTAACTACTTCCAATTTCCTTAACTACTAAGGATCTTATAGAGACAAGAACTAGGAAAAGTAAGGAGAAAATACACCCTAGGGACAGAAGACCTGGACTGGAGGTCTTGGGCTGATTAAATGACCTTATTCCTATCATGGCTTCCTTAACTCACTCATTTAATAAATGTTTTCCAAAGCCCTTACTGTGTACCAAGAGTTGCCTCGTGCACTAGGGCTGTAGCAGTGAATAAAACAGGGGAGGCGCTGCTCTGGGAGATCTTGTGTCCTAGTGAAAGTGACAGGCAATACGTGCCAAATAAATAAGCAACGTAATTTCAGGTGGTGAGCAGTACTATGAAAGAAATTAAACAGGCCAGGTGCAGTGGCTCACATCTGTAATCCCAGCACTTTGGGAGGCCTAGACAGGCAGATCACAAGGTTAGCAGTTAGAGACCAGCCTGACCAAGGTGAAACCTGTCTCTACTGAAAATACAAAAATTAGCCAGGCGTGGTAGTGAGTGCCTGTAATCCCAGCTACTTGGGAGGCTGAGGCCGGAGAATTGCTTGAACCCTGTAATCCCAGCCACTTGGGAGGCAGACGTTGCAGTGAGCCGAGATTGCACCACTGCACTCCAGCCTAGACAACAGAGTGAGACCCTGCCTCAAAAAAAAAAAAAAAAAAAAAAAGAGAAAGAAATTAAACAGATGATAAAGACAAATTGGGGAGGAGGCATCCTATAAAGAGGTTGGTCAGAGGAGGTCTCCCTGGGGAAGTAACATTTGAGCTGCAATCTGAATATACTACAAAGGGCCAGCCAGGAGATAAGCCAGGGAAAGAAGGTTCCAGATGGAGGGACCAGCAAGCTTTGAGATGGGACCGTTCCTGGTGTTGGCTGCCAATCCAGGAAAACAACACTGGGTACACAGTTGCACTAGGTGAATGGTTTTGACACAGTACAGCAAGCAGTCCTACAAGTTCCTGGTGGTGTCTCGGGGTGAAGGGGCCAAGGACAGAGACTCTGCCAGACTCATGCCACCCTGCCAAAGACACACACAGAGAACGAGAGAGAGACGCATGCACATACTCTGCTTCAACAAAACAGCTCTTCTTTAATCTGAAGTATATATTGGGTGGCTGGTTGAGATTTTGTTCGAGGACCAGGTTCAGGGATCACAAGTTCTTGATCTCAAAAGTCCTTTTTCACACTTTAATTTTTCGATTCTCTGAAATGTTACACAACCTCGGCAGTGGTCACAGAAGGACTGATTCTATTCTATCCATTAACAGGGAGTCAGGGAGTGCAGCTCCCAGCAATCTGGCTCTCTTCTCACCATACATCCTACCTCTTTCCCCTCCAGTGGTGGACTGGAACCTCTGATGCCTTCCAAGCCCATCCCAGCTAGAGAGGGACACACATCTCTGCCTCTTCCTAAGAGATTACACTGATTTCCTTTCCTTGCACTGTCCAAATGAGACACTTTCTGTCTTACACAGTAGAGCTTTGTGAAGATAGTCGAGAAATGGCTCCAGTTTTTTTCCAACCTGTAAAATGCAAAGTTAGCCAGCTGCCTCTCTTCCTAGCCTCAAAACTCCTATCTCTCCTGTCTCCAAAGAACTGCCCAGCAGCTCTAAGAGAAGTCTCTGCCGTCCTGGGGCTTCGGGAAAGCACTGCTCAGAATGTGAAATCATTTTCTGGTAACACGGATCTAATTAGCTCTTTGACTGACAAGAAGCAGCAGAAGCCAAGAGGGATTCAACCAATCTGTTTTTCAGATATTTCAAAACAAGTGAAGAACCAGACAGAAAAACGGAGAGAAAGAGAAAATAGAGGGACAAAGCCTAGGGAGCATTTGGAGAAGGAGGTAAGAAAGAGAATGCAGACGGAGAATATGTTACTAAAGTAACAATCCTCTGTTCTTCCAGCTTCACCTCTGCTCCCAATTTCCCCTCTGCTTGCTTCCAGAGAGAACTTACTTGAAGGTCGACGATTTCTCTTTCTGATTCCATTTCGCTGCCCTCAAGTCCCTCCACACGCACCGGTGCCGTGCCGGGAACAGACTGCGTGGGCTCCTCCAGGCTCTGCTGTCTGAGTCTGTTGCTTTCTTGGGGGTGGGAGAGAGCACACAGCTGGCGGGACAGACCTGCCATTCATCCCTCTGATGTGGGATGCCCGTCTTGGCTGCAGCTCCTGGGGGAGGTGTACATATGCACACACGTGTGAGTGTGTGTATGTGTGTGCTCCAGGGGATGGCACATGGCACACTGATAGGTGGTCTTTTGAGTTGGTAGTGACAGCATCATTTTCACTAGTGGCTCCAGTGACCCGGTCCCTGCGGAGCCGTCTGAGGTCACCCAGCCTGCTTTGAGCTAGTAGCTTTGCAACTAGCAAAGAAACCCTGCATATTTATCAAGGAAATTAAAAACAGCCTGAGGACGATGCTGCCCGACTTGACTGCTGAGTTGGGTCCCCAGTCACCATGGGTGGGGTGGCCTCCTGCACAGTCTTTTTTTTTTTTTTTTTTTTTTTGAGACAGTCTCATTCCGTCACCAGGCGCCAGGCTGAAGTGCAGTGGCGCGACCTCGGCTCACTGCAACCTCCGCCGCCCGGGTTCAATCAATTCTCCAGCCTCAGCCTCCCGAGTAGCTGGGACTACAGGCGCGTGCCACATCGCCCGGCTAATTTTTTTTTTTTTTTTGTATTCTTAGTAGAGACGGGGTTTCACCATGTTGGCTAGGATGGTCTCGATCTCTTGACCTCGTGATCTGCCCGCCTCAGCCTCCCAAAGTGCTGGGATTACAGGCGTGAGCCACCGAACCCGGCCGGCACAGTCTTAATACTGAGGCATTGGGACTTTGCTTTGTTCCATGTATCCCTAAAAGTTTTTTTTTTAATTGTAATTTACCTAATCGGCTCCAAGGCATAGGCTTTATTCTACAAAGTGAGTAACAATGAGTTTTTATTGACAGATTGATTCCTTCAGCTTCTCCCTTGATTAGCCATAGAGGGAGCAGGGAGAAGTTGAAGCCTGTTTGTGCAAGTATTGTTATTCCCCCTACTTTTAAAACAAAGTTACCAGGAGTGAGTCTTTTTTTAGAAAGTTGTTTTTGTTCCTCTCCTGTTTACCTTAGAGCCCAAAACTCTTCTGGCTTGTTCCTGAAGCAAGGTTTAGACACAAGCTTGTGGACATGTGGGTGTGGGGATGTCTGCGGTGTGCATGGAGGGTGTTAACCTGTAATCCACTCCAGGGCTTAAAGAGGAGCAGGTGGGAGGAAGAGAGCCAGAGTCACACATCTACTCTCGACACATTCAAATGTGAGGGGGGGGGAGTAGGTGATTTCTTTACTACTGTGAAATGCCTTTATAAGTTCCCATCCTTCTGGACAGTGATGCAAGGGAGGCTTGGCTAGTTGGATGGGGGCCATATTCTAATCTATGAAGCATAGTAGGATTTAATCATTTAAATGATAAGCAGTCTGCCTGTTGCAGTGACTCACACCTGTAATCCCAGCATTTTGGGAGATTGAGATGGGCAGATCACCTGAGACCAGCCTGACCAACATGGAGAAACTCTGTCTCTACTAAAAATACAAAATTAGCCAGGTGTGGTGGCGCACGCCTGTAGTCCCAGCTATTTGGGAGGCTGAGGCGGGAGAATTGCTTGAACCCGGGAGGCAGAGGTTGCCATGAGCCAAGATCTCACCATTGCACTCCAGCCTGGGCAACGAGCGAAACTCCATCTCAATAATAATAATTATAATATAAGCAGTCCACTTTAGACACAACGCTCAGTCTTTCATGTTTGCTGAAGATGGCATCTAGGTGCATGGGATGGGTGGGGTGGAGATGGTTCTTGGATCTATCCTGTGGCCTCTCCGTCTCTGCTCATTTCTGCTCTGGAGCTGCTGGCCCAAGGCCCACCTGAGTTGCTGACTGCTGAGGAGAATCAGGTCCTGCTCCTGGGCCTCCTGGGCGTTGATGTTGATATTGGCCAGGGTCACTCAATGCCGATTCTCTTTCTGCTTTTGAGGTCCAGCAGTCTCTCTCGCTATCTGTGCTATCTTGGCTCGTGGCAATGTGGACTGCCCTGAGACCTGGCCTTGACTTGTATGTGCCCCCATCCCACTGTACCTGCTCAGTGGCCCACATCTCTGAGTTCCTCTGGAAATTTTCCTGCCAGATGCTTGACCAGTGCTCTTGAGCCTCCTTGGGCACATGGGAACTGAGGGCTGCTGAGGAACGGCTAAGGAAAGGCAAGCTCAGCCCCACTTCCAGCAGAGTTTGCTCTGATGTGTCTGCTCCAGTTGGCGCAGGGCAGCCTGTGTGGTGACCTCCTTCCACATTCCCAAATGGGAATGAGACATGGAACTTACTCTTCTCAGCATTCCTTAAAAAGTCTACCAGTAATATCTATCACCCCACCCCTCATGATAATACCACTATGTAACAAGCACTATTCTAAGCACTTTTTTATTTTTGAGATGGAGTCTCGCTCTGTTGCCCAAGCTGTAGTGCAGTGGCATAATCTCAGCTCACTGCAACCTCTGCCTTCCTGTTTCAAGTGATTCTCCTGCCTCAGCCTCCTAAGTAGCTGGGATTACAGGCATGCACCACTACACCAGCTAATTTATGTATTTTTAGTAGAGACAAGGTTGTGCCATGTTGGCCAGGCTGGTCTCAAACTCCTGACTGCAGGTGATCCACCCATCTCGACCTCCCAAAGTGCTGGGATTACAGGTATGAGCCACTGCACCCAGCCTATCCTAAGCACTCTAATGCATACTCACCTTATTGAGTTTTTATAACAATTCTGAGAAGTTAGTAATGTAACTATCACTGTTTTACAGGTGAAGAAACAGAGGCACAAAGGGATTAAATAGTTGCCCAAGGTTGAACCAAGGTTTGAACCCAGGCAATCTGGTTCATATTCTTAGCCATGCCTTTGGCTCAGAGAGGAACAACTGAACCAGTATGTCCGAATACCTCCTTTCTCTTCCACTACTATACTTCTTTCCATAGTCCCCTTAATCTAGGATCAGAAAAGGTAGGCTTTGTCTTCTTTTTTTTTTTCTTCCGTTTTGCTGGGATGTATCTGATGTATAACTCTATGACAATAATTCAAAGGGAAATGAAGAAATTTAGAAAATCCTCTCTCTCAACAAAACCTGGCTGTCAAAAATATTGTCTTGGCTGGGCACTGTGGCTCATACCTGTAATCCCACCACTTTGGGAGGCCAAAGCAGGAGGATCTCTTGAGCCCAGGAGTTCAAAACCAGCTTGAGCAACATAGTGAGATCCTATCTCTACAAAAAAATTTTGGCTGCACATGGTGGATCGCACCTATAATTCCAGCATTGTAGGAGGCAGAGGCGGGAGGTCACTTGAGCCCAGGGGTTCAAGACCAGCCTAAGAAACAGAGTGAGATCCTGTCTCTACAAAAAAAAAAAAAAATTTTTTTTATTAGCCAGATGTGGCAGCTTGCAGCACCTGTAGTCCCAGGTACTCGGTACGTTGAGGTGGCAGGATTGCTTGAATCTGAGAGCTCAAGGCTGCAGTGAGCTATGATCACAACACTGCACTCCAGCCTGGGTGACAGAGCAAGACCGTGTCTCAAAAAATAAAATCTTGCTGGAAAACCTTATTTTTGGGGCCAGAAGCAAAATATTAACTATTTCTTTATCTTTGCACTCCTGTTGTGAAAATCCTCATTATGTTTTAGATAATATGGATACATCTGGCTGAATAGAGAGAAACAGGAACAAAAAAATGCAAAAGAGAAAAGCACTTGAATATATTTCAAAAAAAAATTTCCTATTAAGCATATTGGTTTGAAAAGGAAACAGCTGTAATTGGTTTGGTTTAGCAAGGTCTTTCTGGATTTAGACCTTTCCCTATCTCATAAGCATCATTTGAAGTAAACAGAAAAAAGGCTTTGGAAAATGGTTTATCTACCTTGTCACACTGTAATCCTGGACCTCAGGGGTCAGCAACTTTTTCTTTTTTATCAAATGCAAATTTCTATATTTTTTAATTTTAATTTTTAGTATTTTTTAATTTTAATTTTTATTTTTTGAGACACGGTCTCACCCTGTCACCCAGGCTAGTGTGCAGTGGCACAATCTCAGCTTACCACAACCTCTGCCTTCTGGGTTCAAGTGATCCTCCCACCTCAGCCCCAGACCCCTGACCTAGTAGCTGGGATTACAGGCGCGTGCCACCATGCCTGGCTAATTTTTGTATTTTTTGTAGAGACAGGGATCTCGCCATGTTGCCCAGGCTGGTCTCAATCTCCTGAGCTCAAGCAATCTGCTCACCTCCACCTCTCAAAGTGCTGGGGTTACAGGCATGAGCCACCACGCCCAGCCAGCAAACTTTTTCTGTAAAGGGCAAAATCCAATCTTTTTTAGCCTTTGTGAGTCATATGGTTTTTGTCGCAATTACTCAATTCTATAATAATGTGAAAGCAGCCATAGACAACGTGTAAATGAATGTGACAGTGTTCCAATAAAACTTTATTTACAAAAGGAGTCAGATACTCATAAAAACAGACCAGAGAATTGGCTCCAACAGGTTGTAGTCTGCTACCCCTGCTCTAGATAGAATTTAATCAGAGTCTTTGAAGTCTAATTCCCATTTGAGAGGCAACTGCCGAGTCTCTACCACATGGATACTGGATTAAACACTGTGGGCTATAAAAGCACCACACACACGCCCTGGTGAGATACCTGATGGCCAGGGAAGCTGTAGTGAAGTGTTGCTGACATTTGGCTGATAGTGAAACCGCATCTATGCTGAGGTTATCACAGTGGATGGGAATGGTTTCTATTTTTCTTTACTGCTAGGGTACTTTTTGTGGTGTAAAGCCCAAGGGACATTTTTAGGGAAACTGTCTCTTGTAAAGTATATTTTAGAATATCCTTGAACTTATAGATAAGGAGACACTCAGATTGACTCAGAAACTACTCCAAGTCTAGTTTCACGGAGTGGGGGCCCTACATTGAGACCCTAGGGATCTTGCTATATAGGAGCCAAGCATTGTTGTAGGGCACTGAAGAAGGCAGCAGTAAGAAGATCCTTTAATTCTGAACTGTGGGAAATGCTCTAGGGTGAAAGCCAGGTGGCCTAGGTTCCTCTCTGCCTGCTGAGTCACTGTGTTTTTAGGCAAGTCACTTAACTTCTCTGGGGCTTACATTCTTCTTTGTGAATGTGAAGCTATCAAAAGAGTTGATTCCTAAGATCCCTTTAGCTCTTACATTCTGTTTCTAATGTGTGTTTTGGCCAGGCATGGTGGTTCACATCTGTAATCACCACAGAGGCAGGAGGAACACCTGAGGTCAGGCGTTTGAGAACAGCCTGCCCAACATGGTGAAACGCCATTTCTACTAAAAATACAAAAATTAGCTCAGCATGGTGGT